AACCTTAATCTAAAATAGACTCACAAAAGAGTTAAGATTTCTTAGAACGATTAAGTATCTCATACTTATTCAAAGCCATGGAAAAGAGGAGCTGTAAGAACTTGCAAGCTAAGGAATTTGACTGTTTTGTGGAGAAACATAATAAAAGAATCTTTCTTTTAGATGTAAGTGCCCATGAAAACACATTAATCTGTGACTTATCTTACCGTGTTTCTTTGTAATTTCAAAAACTAGCAGTCATTGGTATAGAAGGCTTTTAGCAAGCTATGGTCAATCACTTGCTTTGCAAAAAAAAAAAAAATTTTTTTTTAAAATCACAAATATTTACCCTCAATACAGGTATTTTTGCTACCAGCTATGTGTGCAAAAACAGCCTTGTTTTGCTTGTGTTTTCAAGATATCAGCAGTGGAAGAAAAAGCAGCTTATTTCCAAAAACGGAAAAGGAATAGAAATCAGAAATAGTGCTGTAACATTTGGTGTGTACACAGCTGTAAATGTAACATTATGGCAGAAAGTCTTAAGTGAACCAGCTTCTAAAAAGTGGTGAGGGTTTTTTACCATTAAATTTCCAAATACAAAGCCAAACTCAGTTTGTTCCAATAATGAACAAATTAAGGCTGCAAATGGGAAAACACAGAGAAAGAAAAAGGCAAAGAGGATAAGGCAAGACATTTTTGGTGTGTTTTTTTTTTTCCCCTTTGCCTCTTTCTTAAGAACTTGTTAAATATTTGTGATTTCATAATTTTACCACATAATCTAAATGAAATGTTCAACTTAGCAGTATTTGACCTCCACATGAACAAAGTAGATGATAAACCAATCTGTAAGGCATTAAACGCACACTATTAAAATTCAACCTTACATCCTCTCTGTGATATATTCTGACAGAGTCTGTGTGCAAGGTGGTGCACAGCACCACAGGAGCAGGTCCACGAAACTGTCCCCTAACATGTTCTTTTTACTATATTATTACTTAAGCTTGTTTGTGCTTTATCATGCCCAGTTTCTCCGGGATATTGAAGGAAAGCAATATTTTGTTATAAGCCATCTGTTTAGACAACACTGTCAGATCTGGTTACTCAAATAAACTTAACGTGATGATTGAACATAATGAACTAAATGGGTTTGAACAAACATTTCTGGAGTTCAAAAAGCGAGTCCTGAAAATCATAGCATTTTGATTAGCATGATGTGATTACATTAAGGTAATCTGAGGAAAGATTGGATGATCTCCAAGTGAATATATGCATCTCTGCATTCTCAGGCATCCACCCCAAAAACATGCATGCTGGGTTAATTACCCAACCCAAATAGACCTTACACAAACCTGTCAACAGCCATGCTGTTATAGACTCTGACCCATCCCTGGACATATTAACTCATCCCTCACCATTTCTTACCATCTAAGTGTGAGAGAGGTTTAGAACTTGTATAGATAAATGGGATTTAAGGGATACTGCATAAGCTGTTGGATGTATTGATGGTGCCCACTGCACACATTACAATAAACCTTTGTTTTTATACAACAAGGGTATAATAAACATATGTATTTGCACCTTAGAACATTTCTTGTCAGAGAAAAAGTAGCCATCTGTTCTCTCCCCAGTGCAAAGACAACTCTCTCATCCTTAAAATGGATCATACATAAACATTAGCAAACACGTCTGACTCCTGCGGCTCTTCCAGAGGCCATCCCTCCAGTATAAAATCATGTCATAAGCCTCTGTGTAGTCCTTATTTATAATAAACATTTTTTTGGCTTATCTGTTTTTTTATACAATAATGCATAACATGATGTCGTTACACTTTTTTTGTATCAAACAGCTCGACATAGAACAGCTATTTGCAAAGCAAAACCAACCCTAAGAGGACTATAAGGACTACATGCACTATGGTGCATGAGGTCCCTCAGGCTGTCTGCCGACTGTTCTTTCTACTTTCTTACTTCTACGCCTGAAAGCCCAAATGTGGATCCGATATCCCTACATAACCTGGCATCCTTTTCTTTCACAAGCTTTGGATTATGACAGAGGATGTCTGGTATGCAACATTTGGCTATGCTAGAGTTAACAACTTAAGGACATCAGTGGTGAAGAAAATCCTCTACTGTTCATGCTGTCTTTCACTTTCAGGTATTTTCTGCTGTGACATGTAACTGGCTGGGTTCTGGTTCCTTTCTATGAGCAAACAAAGGGAGCAGCAATAGCGGCATGCTGTGGAAACACTGGCACAGGCTTATTAACTATATCATGTGCTGCTATGGGAGAGCAGAACTATCTCACCGATGATGCAAACAACCCTTCAGGGCCAGATGGATAAGCCTGTTAGGAATGCTCTCTAAAAGGCAATAAGTGAGCAGGAATAGGTGATAAATGTTTTCCTTGCTCGCACTTACTCTCAGGGGATATTTTCTCAATGAATTAATATTGAAGCGAGGGACTCAAGTCTGAGCATGTTTATACCCATAAAAATTGGCAAATTATGAGCATGGTGACAAGCCACTCCATCAGCAGGAATGTTAATAATGTACAATATGCTGCTGTGAAGGCTGGAATAAATGATTATTTCACAAAGGCATAGTGTTAAACAAAGTCAGACCAATACTCTCTTGATGAGCCCTATCAGGCAGATAATAGCTGTGAGGGGTAGAAAGAATATTTGTGATATGAAGTTATACCTATTTTCTTGTATTTATTTTTCCTCTATCTCTCACAGAAACAACATTTTCCAGCTGGCTGAAACCTTTGATCTCCTAATTGCTTCAGAAATGTGCTTATTTAAAGCAGAGACTCTGTTGGAGAAGATAAGCTTTAAAAAAAAAAAACAATAGACATGCACACCTCATGAATATAGCAGGTGAAATGACAACGTCTGTCAGGGCTTTTTGCAGACATTAATATAAGAATAAACTTTAATGGCTTTCAAATGAAATTTCTGTTCATTTAGAATATGCTAATATATTCTTCTCTGAAGGTTGCTCATGGAGTTGCAACTAGCACACAGATCCGTTCAAGATAGAAGATGTAAGATTTTTTTTCACACAAAGGTTACAGTAAATCCTGCAACAATAGATTCTGGACAGGCAAGCTTATCCTCATGCCTGTGCATAGTGCAAAAGAAAATCGAAATAAAATCGCAGTATTGGTTGAAAAAAATACAATTTTTTGGGGCACAATCGTTCAGCCTTCTTGTAGGATTAAGCAGTAATGAAACACAAATAGATGATATATTTATTTTTATTTATATAAAGAATGATTGTTTTTTTATTTTGTTAAAAAATAAATTAACTTAAATTGCAAGGATTGGGGTGTGTACCTGTCTAGGCGTCAATGTGAGGACCACTTTTCCAATTTCACCATCACAATGAGGACCGGTTGTGAAGAAATTTTGCTGGTCTTCACAAGGTATTTTGCTAATGGTTAGATTTAGGGCAAAGGTGTCCATTGGGTTACGGTAGGATTAGGGTGAGGTATGCACTGGTAATGGTTAGGTTTAGGTTTATTTTTAGGGTTAGGGCATAAAAAGGGTTGAAAATGCTTGAAAACCAATGGGAGTCAACACATCGTTCCTAACTACATATAGCAGAACAAACAGGTGTGTGTGTGTGTGTTACTCCACATAACCCAAAACAAGGACTTTGTTAAAAATAAATTACTTTGGACATCTGTATTTGATAGATCCTTTTTTCATATATGTGCAAGACATGAGAAAGAGCATGAGAAAAAAAATGTTTTCTAATTTGACTTTTACATTTTTCTTGTTTCTTTGTTTGCTTTTTTACACAACAAGAAGATCAAGCCAGATTGTATCTCTTGCTAGGCTGCTTTTGTCAGTATGAAAATTTTTTAATAGTTTCTGTTTATTAGAACAAATAATAAAAAAAACTACTTATGTGATTGTTTTTCATAAAAGGTGATGATTTTGAAAAATATCTCTACCCAGCTGCTTATCCTAAGAGAGAAAGATGCTGGTCGATGGGAAGATTGATGAATAGAGGGCGGTTAACAAAACCAAAACAGTCAGAGGCTGCAGAAGATTTGGGACAGAAAAGGGTCAAGCACTATAAACATGCAGATGGAGCTACGCTGGATGGTTTTAACTTCAAAAACTATTGTGTTATGATTGCTTTTAGTCCAAGTCAAAGTCCAGACCTGAACCCTGTAGAGAATCTCTGATAAGACTCAAATACTATTTTTTTCAAGAAGCTATCCATTAAATCTATCAATGAAGAAGTCAAACTGCATATCTGTTCAGTAGATATGCAAATGCAAGACCTAAAAAAGGTCCCAACTGTGAGTGGAGCAACAAATACTGTCTATTAAAATAAAGTAAGGTGAATTAAAGAATTTGAAAAGGGGGAAAAATACTTTGCGACTGACAACATTTGTGGTGGTGGTGTAACTTTCTATGTGTTTGGATGGGCTCTCCTTGTCTGAGCTCCATAAATCCATTTCAATCTGGCTTCACTGAGCAATGAACTCTGGGTCATAACATGTCAATCAGAGTGATCTTAGTGAAGGAATGTATCAGAAGGGTGTGCACAAACGCAGAGCGCATATTGGTGTCACTGTGCGTAAGTGTAAGGATTAAAATAGCAAACAGCTTTAATTCAGAGGTAGGCCTACCTACGGATGAGAATACCTAAAAGGTGCATTCTTTTGGTGTCTGGCGTCTTCTCACACACACCTCATGGGAATCGTGTTTGAACACGATCCACCAGGTAGTGTCCTCTCACATCAAATCAGCCTGTGCGCTCAAAGCAGGAGCCGCTCGGCGTGACTTTAGCAAATGTAAACAACGCACCGATCGGAGAAACTGTGCGTCCTACAAGACGCGCGGATCCATTTGGATGGATTGGACTGTTGCTCTGGTTCAAGCGACACGTTGATTTTTTTTTACTCAAGATATTTTAATATCTAAGCAACCTTTGTATTATATTCATTAAATACAAAAAGATCACTAATTTTAACGAAATACAGTGGCGTTAAATTGCTCCTACCTGCCGTCGAAGTCTGCGCTTGCTCCAAAACAGCAACTGTAAAACAAAACCAACTTTATCCATAATTCCATGATTGATTCTCAGAGTTTCGCGACCAGGCTCATGTGTTCTCTAGAATCCAAAAGCACTGGGTTGGAAAAGGGAAACTACTTTATAAAAATAGAGGAGACATTAATGTGCTGCAGCCTGAATGTAATCGGGTATATGGTTCATCTGAGATATCCAGATAGAGGAAAGCGGTGAGATGATCCAGTCAGATGCCTGATGGTAGAAGGAGTCCCAGTGGTGTGAGAGCGGAGCGGGACGCACTCTGCCGGGAGAGGATGGCTCAGCCCCCTCTCTCTCTCTCCTCTCCCTCTCTCTCCTCTAACAAGTTCACAAAGAGGACTCTCCAACCCTGAAAGCTCTGACCCCTCATTACCTTTACGCGTTAATCCGGCACCTTTAAAGAAAAATACGCACAGACACGCTACCTGTGGAGCCACGGGAGAGGACAGCACGTGGGACACTGCGCGTGCTTTTTGACTTTTTTAGAAGCGCTTTAATTAATGACATAGCTTGCAGAGGCATGCAGGTGCACCCGACCACCCAGGTAGATGCTGCTCACCACTGGAAAATATACAGTCACAATGGAAATTATACGAATATCTGTTGCATGTAGGAATATTCCCCCAGCAGAAGCCACTTTGCAGCTGTTAGAGACCCCCAGCATACCACATGCAGGGGCGGAGCTAGATGGGGGGCCAGGGGTGCCATGGCCACTAGAGGTGGGCTATACCAGGAATTTATAATGGTAACAATACCAAGTAAATACAGGGTCAGTATCACCGATATCAATACGATACCGATACTTTTTAACATTTCAGCTTTATGTATTTTTTTTATTTATTGAGGCAAGGAGTGAAGTTTCGTCTCCTCTCTGTTTCTGTAGCTCGACGTTTTCTTGCTCCTGTTGGTTTTTCATGTTGTGTTTCCACTGCATTTAATCTGCTTTTTACAAACCACACAGCTTGCCATTGTTTCATTTACATTATTAAAATATGGTCAAACGCCGCTTCTTTCCCTCTTCATGTTTTTCTGCTCCGCTGCAGAGCAGCAGTGCAGTTGTATGTGTGGAGTGGAGAGAGAGCCGAGTGGGCGGGGCTATGCTGAGTCTGCGTGCTGAGCTGGTGAAGAGAGGGGAAGGGGGAGCAGCAAAGTGATGTAACACCGGCGGACAGACTGGTCAGTCTGCTGTAGTTAGTGTGTGCGGGAGAGAAGAAAAAGTATTGATCTTGTTTAACCAATATTGTTGTATATCAATACTAAAGTTGGTATCGATAGTATCGATCCCAGGATCGATCTGCCCACCTCTAATGGCCACCCCTACCATTTCCCCCCCCCCCCGTCCAATACAGACAGCGGCAACAGTAATACTCTCACGCGGAATATTCAAAACATTTAAATTTTTAATATATTAACATTAACTTGACAACAAAAAACACTGTGGTGAATTATGCACATCAATGTGCTGACATCAAAGATAATAAGTACAGAATTCATGCTCTTTTCAGTACTAGTGTTATATGAGGTAAAGAGAAAATTATTTCTCTCTGCAAGTCATATACTGTAGGAGTATTCAGTGAAATGATAGATAACTATTTTAATAAAAGGGTATTAAATAATCAATTTATGGAGATATTAGTACTTGTAAATATATATTTTTGTAGAATGATTATTGATAAAAGTAACTAATGACAAAGGAAAAGATGTTCGTCCCATAACTCAAACCTGAAACAATTGTATCCACTATACATTTTATCTAGGAAGATGTTTAAATATATGCATCTATTTTTTAGCAAAGGCTGTAGGAAAGAATATTTTGTCTTTATTTAGAAAATGAATGTGCTCATTAATTTTCCTGTTCTAACAGTGTAGATTGACCCTGAGGTTCTGGCGCCTATCCGCTTTCGGCCACCCCTCTGTGTACATTGGTTATTGCCTGGCCACTCTTATAAAAATGTTCCGGCTACGCCTCTGGCCACATGAGAACCTTTCTCTCAGAAATAGACGTGCAAGACGTTGGCATCTCCAGGCAAAAGTAAAGGTTTTGTGTCTTTCATACAGAGGTGTCAAGTAATGAATTATAAACACTTCATTGCTGTTTTCAAGTAGTTTTTTTGGTATCTACTTTACCTGGGTATTTATTTTGACTTTTTACATTTACTCCCTACGCAAATGCATTCTAATTCTTACTTTTTCTGTGCTGGCTCCTTATAGATGTTGATGCACATCCTGAAGGTCCTACAGAGACTCCAGTTGGTCCACCTGAGCAAGCAAGCAGCTACCAGAAATCCCTGCAGCATGTAGCTTATGGAGCTAGAGTTGAAGATGCCATCATAGCTGTTTTAACAAACCCACTATAATTAAGACAAGGCATGTAACATAAGGCTCTGTGATATAACTGACAAAACGTATGACTATATAAGCCTTTCGTATTAGTCCATATTGATCAATGTAAATTAGTGGAGGGTTTTCCACCTATTTAAAATAAGAATTTAAATTGTAACCCTAATACCATTTAAACATAACTTTGGCCATGAGAAGCACAATCCTTTCCTCTGTCTACATCTCACATAATACCATATTTTATGTTGAATTGGACAGTCTATTGCGATACATATCGGTATGATTTATTGCTTAGCTGTAATTTAACAAGAATCTGCCTGATTAGCTTTGGGATAAATTCCAGAAGCCTCAGATGCAGGCATCAACAATCACCGGAATCAAAGACTACCTGACAAACAGGCCACTGTTTGCTAGAAGAGTCAGCTGTCTAATCAACCGGTCAGCAGCACAGTAGCACCATAGGGGACGGTACTCTCTCTTTTCTTTTTAACTCTGTACACCTTGGACGTCCAGTACCAGAATCAGTTATACCATCAGCAGAAATCTGTTGGGTCCATCAGGTATGAAGAATAAGCTTAGGGAGCTGGTGAAGCACTTTGTGGCATGGTGCAGAAACAATATTCATATAAATAAATCAAGGGAGATTATTGTAGATATCGGAAGAAAACAGGAACAAGTTGAATCTGACTGAGATTAAATGAGAAGAAGTGAAGGTGGTGGAGGAGTATAAATACCTTGGTATTCACCTGGACAACAAACAGGACTGGAGACACAACTGTGAAGGTTTCTACAAGAAGGGACAGAGCAGACTGTACTTCCTGAACTTCAATCCTCGTATATAGATTATTTGTTCTCCAGATGCACAGTATTTATTGTAAAATACTGTGCAGTGTTTTATTTATTTTCTCAAATCTGTCATTGATATTTTTATACACTGCTGTAACACCACAATTTCCCCATTGTGGGACAACAAAGGGGTTTTCTATTCTATTCTACTCTATTCTATTGCAAGGAAGCTTAGGTAATTCAGCACTTGTAGTAAGATGCTGCAGATCTTCTATAAATCTGTTGTGGAGAGTGTGATTTTTTCTGCAATCATCTGCTGAGGTAACAGCATCAGAGCAAATGACTAAAAGAAGATCAACAAACTAAGAAAGAAGGCCAGCTCTGTTCTACTTACTCCTCTAGAACCTCTGGAGATTATTTCATAAAGAAGAATTCTTAATGAGATGAAGAACATTATGGACAACATTAAGCATCCTCTTCAGGAGACAACCGAGTCTTTTAGGATTCTCCAGATCTGGTGCAAGACAAACCTATACAAAAGACCCTTCCTGCCTGCAGCTATCAAAATATACAGCCGCTTATTGAAAAGTGTATTACTTAAACATTTAATTTCTCTTTTAAGTTCTAAAAAGAAATTTATTGAATTGAATGTGATAAGTGAAAAAACAAACAAAAAATACAAATCAAGAAAAGAATCTGTCCAGTTGGAGCTCAGTTTGTTTATAAAACATTGATAGTGACATGGATGAAGACAGGAGGCTGGGAAACAATGCAGGGGATGGATCCTTTGTGCTTTTAATACAATTTAAATTTATATGTTGATTATTTTTCAAGTTCTATTTTCATTTTAAAGCTACTTGCAATGTTAACACTGTGAATACCAGAGTTTTACAATGTATTTAACTGCTTATGCAGAACTTTTGTTCAGTTTAATCTATATCCTTCTGTCTGTTGTCTTAATGTATAACAAAACTAGGCTGAAAAATTATTTTTGCTCTCTCTACCAACACATTGAGAAAAAGAGGAAAATTAAACAAATTTCCTTCCGTATAACTGTTTCTAATTTTTCTATAGTTTTTTCTTATTTGTAAACTTTAAGGCAAAAAAGTAATGATACGTTAATACTTTTTTTTAACCTGTATTTAACCAGAGTAGTCCCTTTGAGATCTAAAATCTCTTTTCCAAGAGAGTCCAAAAGGACAGCAGTGTATAACTTACAACATATAAACAGATTTTAAATAAAAATAGAACAAATTAAAAACATTAAAACGCTGCAGAAACTCTCAAATAATACATTCACACACAGATATTTGTGTGACATATAACACATATGGACAATTGGAGGACTACTTTGACTGCCTGTTGTCTTGGGATAAAATATTCAAATTATTCATAAAACTATTGTTGATGTGCAAAAGCGTTATTTTCACATTAAAAACATCCAATTTCTTACACAATGGAAAAATGTTAAAGCTATGGAATATGACAGAGTCCGATCTTTGCCGTTTCTGTTGTCAGGAGTCTGAATCCACCCTGCATTTGTTTTGGTATTGTCATATTGTGTCTCTATTTTGGGTGGAAGTTGAAAAAATGTGTTTAAGGATTGGTCTGTCTATGAAGCTCGATGTGGTTTCTGTTTTAATGGGAGAGTTTAACAACAGTCACGACTTAGTTAATTTAATCATTGTACTTGGTAAAAGGTTAATCTTTAAAGCCAAAAATAAATTTTCACTTGGTATTAATTTATTTAAAACACTTATTCAGAATTATTTAAATTTAGAAAGTTATATGATTGAAACCGCTGATGAAGCCAAAAAAAAAAAAAAAAAAAAAAAATGGGAAGTTCAGAAATGTTTATTCTGAAAATGTAATTTGTGGAGGAATGAATGGGTTAATGAATGTGAATGAGTGTGAGAGGGAGGCTTTTAGGTTGGCATATTTCCTCTGTAAATGTATCCTGTGTTGTCATTTATGTTGATTTAATAAAAAAAAAAAAAAACAATACATTCAGACACATACATAATTGATTGTGATTTTAAAAGGATTTTTAAATTCTTTCAGTGTCACAAGGGCTTGAATGTGATATTCACATTGTAATTTATTTTAAGTAGTGGTTACTGAAAACCTAAAACTGTACCTTACTACGATATAGAATGCATTTATGTACCCAGACTTTTACCAGTCTTTTTATACAGTTATATTTACTTTTATCTAAGAAAAGAATGCAAGCGCTTTCACCACTCTACTTTAAGAATTGAAGAAAAAAAAT